CAGACTGAAGGAGGATGCCACACACAGCTCCAGGGTGCAGGAGAGGGAGGGAGGAACCAGAGTTCCTTCTATGCATGTCTACCATACCTACACCCGAGTAAGTCCCACTATGTTCAATGCAGATTTACTCCCAGGTAAGCATGTTTAGGATTGCGGCCCTTGGAATGAGCTGGTTGATGCTCCCTTATGTTTGCTTGAACTGATTTGCAGTCCCAATTCACCTTGGGTGCCAAAAATCTTTGGACATGTTCATCAGTATTTTAAGGCCTTCACCTCTGTCCTTTTACAGAAAGGGGTGTGGCCAGACTGAGGGGTGGAGCAAAAGGAGCATGGTTAAAAATGGGGTGGGGTGGGGGCCACAGGGCATTTCCTTCTTTGTTTCCCCCCAAGTTTCTAGTGGGGTTGCTTTGGGATTGCTGTGGGCTCCCATTTTCTGGGACAATTCCAGCCTGTCTCTGCACCCTCTGCGACTGGATTGTCCACTTCCAATGCAAAGATGTAGGAGGCTGCCTGTTGTATCCCTGCATCAGTCACTGCTGCGGATTTCCTCCTCTTAATCAGCATCTGCCTCGGATGCGGTCAGATCACCCAGAGCTCCCAATGCACAGGCGCGACAGAGGTTGCCTGTCGCACCTCTGCATGAAGGAGTGATCTGCCTTGGCTTCTTTAACTGTTCTCAGGGGAGGCTGCCCGTTACGTCTCTGCATGATATACTGCTTTGGGCTTGCCAGCGTCTGATCGGACCAGTGGCTCATGCAGACACTCGGGGGAGGAGGTATGAGCCGTTCTGGGTAAACAGTTCATCCTCTTACGCTCTCTAAAAGACAGCCTCTTGGGAATTTAAACGTTTCCAGTTTAAATCAGAAAAACCTGTGCTTGACTCATTTTTTTTTTTTAAAGTGGGTCAGCCAACATGCCCGTCTCCCTCGCACAATGGGGCAGGGCTTCGCTGTCAGGACGGATCAAAGCCTCCCCGGGATCACAGGCCCTTTGCTGTCCTGTCTTGCATGTTGATAATTATAATCCCCTCCAGCTCTGCAGAGACTCAGAACTGACAGGTGGCACGCAGGGCCGCTCCAAGCCGGGTGGAAGGAAAATTACTCTGAAGCGTCCAGGGAGGAAGGGGGCCCAAATCCAGGCCAGGCCGCCTGGCTGGGGCCAGGAAGGAATTCGCATGCGGTGCTCCCAACAATGTAGGCCCTCTGTGAACAGAAGGAAGGGTGCCGAGAGAACCACTGGCGGCTGCAGTCAGCATCCTGCCCAGTTTTTACCTGATTTTGCTGCAAACGTTGCCATTGGGGGGGGGGGTCACGCACAAAAAAGCTTCCACAACTTTCAGCCTTCATCACCTCAATTCGCTTAGAAAGTGGAGTCGATACATCATCCCCTTGCGGACGGAGCCTGGCCGGTAACGTGATCTCTTTTTACGACCTGGAAATGCTTGGTGTTGCACAATTTCTCTGCTGGGACACACCCTGCCAACAAAGAGGGATCTGGGTTTAACTTATCTCCGATGCATATCTCAGGCCGCAGCCAGAAAAGACTCATTGGATTTCTCTGCGAAATGTAGCTCTCCAGCAAGGGGAAGGGCTGTGGCTCAGTGGTAAAGCATCTGCTTGGCATGCAGAAGGTCCCGAATTTGATCCCTGGCATCTCTAGTGAAGGATCAAGCAGTAGGGGTAGGGGACAATCTCCTTTCCCTTCTCCTTCCTCCCCACAACAGACACCCTGTGAGGCAGGTGGGGCTGAGAGAGCTCTCTTGAGAACTGCGCCTGAGAGAACAGCCCTGAGATAATTTGTGACCAGTGTTCCCTCTAACCTGAGTTAGTGTGAGCTAGCTCACAGTATTTTAGCCTCTAGCTCACACATTTTTGCCTTGGCTCAGGAAGGATGGCTCCAGAACAAACTAATTTATGCAGCAGCCAAATCGCTCGCTCACAACTTTAATGCCAGTAGCGCACAAAGTAGAATTCCTGCTCACAAGACTCCACAGCTTAGAGGGAACATTGCTTGTGACTGACCCAAAGTCACACCAGCAGCTGCATGTGGAGGAGTGGGGAATCAAACCTGGTTCTCCCAGATTAGAGTCCACGCTCCTAACCACTACACCGAACTGGCTCTTAACTGCTACACCAAGCAGCCATGTTCTCTAGGGGAACTGATCTTGGCCATCTGGCGATCACTTGAAATTCTGGGAGATCTTCAGGTACTGCCAGGAGATCTCGAGATGCCACCTGGAAGTTGGCAACCCCAGCGGGGTGTCCATTTCGAGAGGTGACCATTTCTGACCTCAGCTGGCAGGGCTGATGGAGACAGACTCTTCCAGAGTCTTTGGAGAGCTGCCGTTGTCACTGCTAGGTTAGAGCCAGGGATTCCATGGTGTGCACTGGGAAATTCTCGCATCCCTCGAAAACCTATCACATCTGGATTTCTACATGCCTCCTCCACACATGTGGGCAGGGCTATTTTTGGGCAGGAACGCACAGGAACGGAGTTCCGGCTGGCTCCCAAGTTGGCCACGCCCAGCAGGAACTCATTAGCATAATAGGCCACACCCAACAGCAGAAACTCATTAGGATTGGCTACATTAGGGGTGTGTGGCCTAACATGCAAAGGAGTTCCTGCTACAAAAAAAAAGCCCTGGGTTTTGACAACAAACAAGGTAAAGAGAATAAGAAGCAAAAGGTGGGTGTGGCTGGATGACCACACTTCTGGTAACATGGGGGTGTGGCCTAATATGCGAATGAGCTGTGCTGTCAGGGTGTGGCCTAATATGCGAATGAGTTTCTGTGGTTGGGTGTGGCCTATTATGCTAATGAGTTCCTGCTGGGCTTTTTCTACAAAAAAAAGCCCTGCATGTGGGAATCTAGGACATATGCTAGCATTGCCAGGGACCATACCAAACCTTGTATTATTTCATGGAACTTTGCTGGACAGTGTTCCGAGAAACTCAGAAAGTTTTTGCTATTATTCACAAGGCTGGCATACTTCTTCTCCGAGAAACCGGGCCAACAGAGGACTCCGCTGTCTCCAGTTCTGCTTCCGATTCAGTTCCAGCGGTTGCAGCGTCGGGAACAATTCCCCCTCCAAGCCTGTCGTCAAGAAGCAGCAGAAATCCAGAGCGGCTCCAGATGTTTGCACCCTGGTCCCCTCTATCTCTCCTGCCAACCTAGCAGTTCGAAAGCAAGAAATTGCAGGTAGATAAATAGGTACCACTTCGGTGGGAAGGTAACAGCGTTCCGTGCGCCTGGGTGTTTAGTCATGCCGGCCACATGACCACGGAAACGTCTTCGGACAGCGCTGGCTCTTCGGCTTTGAAACGGAGATGAGCACCGCAACCCTAGAGTCGGATTCGACTGGCTTTCGAGCAAGGGAACCTTTACCTTTACTAAAGGCCAGCAGTTGTTAAAAAAACCTTTACCTTACCCCTGTATCTGCACCAGGGCACATGAGGGCGTTGGGCGGCGTCTTTCAGAGGGTACCCCGAATCCGGTACCCAGCCTGCTAGCCTGAGGTCTGAAAACCATCAACGGCCTGCGAGCCCTGCTGCAGAGGAAGGGGCTTTCTGTGCCTTGGTGTCAAGGGACCTCCTCTGTCAGAGGAGAGAGGCCTTTGTGTGTGTAATCCAGGGTCCCGGCGACCTGCGGAAGCCTCTCTCTTCCCTTGCAGTGCTCTGTGACTCATATCCGGAGCTCAGTCCTGCAGTCTTGGGCCTTTTGGGGAGAGGATGGGTGGGGTGGGGGGGTCAGGGCGTCCCTGTCTTTTGGCTGCTCTGCTGCCGCCCCTCCTGAATTCTCCCCAGCTCCTCCCAGATGTGGCCAGTCATGGTCCCTGGGGACCGTCCTACGCGCCACACTGTTCTGTGTGGCCCTTTCTCTAGAGGGTGGGGGGTGGGATGAGCCAGCATGTGCCCGCTGTGCCTCCCTTTTGTCACTCGTCCCCTCCCCTCTGGCTATACTCCTCTCTGTCTCAAGGCTCCACTGACAGTCAAGAGAGGGAGAGAGCGAGAGCTGGGGGGATTCTCTGCTCAGAAGGACTTCTTCGTCGCCTCGGAGCCCGGGAGCGGCGTCCCAAGGTTTGTGCTCCATTTTTCTTGTTAAGTTTGTGCTTCTTCTTCTTCTTCTTTTACCATAACCGCATTTGATTTCCAGAAACGAGAGATGGCAGGGCACAAAGCGCTTCTTCTAAACTAGATTTGTACCCTCGTTCCAGCTTTTCGAGGGGGCTTCTGATACAACGTTCCCTCTAAGCTGCGGAGTCCTGTGAGCAAAAAATCTGCTTTGTGAGCTGCTGGCATGAAAGTGGTGAGCGGGCGGTTTGGCCGCTGCATCGATCCGTTTGCTCTGGAGCCCTCCTTCCTGAGCGGAGGCAAGAACGTGTGAGCTGGAGGCTAAAAAAAATCTGTGAGCTAGCTCACACTCACTCAGCTTAGAGGGAGCACTGCTTCCAAAGTAGGAACAAAATGGCAATCTCTCTGCACGTGTTTGGAGGTTCACCAGTTCTGGGCCAGCTCTGATATTCAGAATATTTATTTGCCTTGTTTATATCCCGCCTTTCGCCCCAGTGGGGACCCAAAGCGGTTTCCGTCGTTCCCTTCTCCGCCGCTTCGCTCTCACAACAAGCCTGTGAGGTAGGCCAGGCGGAGAGAATGTGACTGGCCCAAGGTCACCCAGTGAGCTTTTGTGGTGGAGTGAGGATTTGAACTGGGTTTCCCAGACCCTAGTTTGACACTTTTAACCCCTACACCACGCTGTCTCTCTAACGGATTCTGGGGGTCAGCTTTGATAGACTTTGACTCAGTTC